GTAAAAGGTTGTATTCGTAAAAGGTTGTATTCGTAGGTGCAAACACAATTCTAACTACAGCGTGAAACGAATTAATTGACACACCATCTACCGTCCAGTTCAATCGGCTGTTATTTGAAACGCATATTTATTTCTTCTTAATTGCTGGTATGCATAGTTAAATATAATTGTTTAGATGCGCTCACGCAGTTTTGTGGCTCCATCTAGTAGTGAGTAAATTTATTAAAAAAATTATGTTCATCATTGCCTTTGTTTCTCACTTGGTTATTTACAAACATAAACTTATTACCTTAAATTTTATTTCGAATGCTATCCAGTTAGAGGTCACTCTGTAAAAAAACATTAATGTGATTTTGTTGGAGAGGGGAACATTGATAGTAGGGCTGTCCAACTTGAAACCAGATTGATAATTAATAATCTATAATGTTATATCTAGTAACATACGTATTTGTCCACCGTACGTTCAGGGTTAATAATTATAATACGAGAAAAATATTTTTTTTCCCCATAGTATCAAATAAGTGACAGTTTTAAATTTTAATTAGTTAAACTTTCCAATTCCCGAGGAGGGGAGAGGTGTGGTCCACCTTGACATCCAGTAATTAAAACATAGAAATAAAGATGAACTCATAAAATTTGAACCCAATTATGTCTGCAGGTGGATCAAATACAACACTTTTTTAAACAATTGAACTTCAAGTGTTAAAACACCATTATTACTGATCGGTCTTCACAAGGGCCATTAACACATACCCACCTTTAATATTGGACTACAGAAGTTAACAGCACACACACTGCCAGCTCTTGTCTGATTGAATACTGAATGGTATAAAAACAAGTCAGTAACCAGTAGTGAATAGTATAAAAACAAGTCAGTAACTGGTATAAAACAAGTCAGTAACTGGTAGTGAATAGTATAAAAACAAGTCAGTAACTGGTAGTGAATGGTATAAAACAAGTCAGTAACTGGTAGTGAATGATATAAAACAAGTCAGTAACTGATAGTGAATGATATAAAACAAGTCAGTAACTGGTAGTGAATGATGTAAAACAAGTCAGTAACTGGTAGTGAATGATATAAAAAAAAAGTCAGTAACTGG